AGCACACTCGATTTGCCATGTTCTTCCAAAATCCATCCATGGCAGCTGTTGGAATTAATGCCAAATCTTTCAGTCAAAAGATAGTGAAATCAAAATTCAGTTTGCACCCACATTCAATCAAGAGTGTTTGGGTAACAATTTCCAGGTAACACATATAAGTATGCTTACTGGGTTAGAAACAATTATGATGTAATGTCAGGACTGTATTTGACAATCTGAGGAGTAATGAATTTGAAAATATTAACATTTCTCTGCACAAGATTGGGACAACTCTCCTCTTCTTGCCAGTGGATTACTGCAATACCAGAAATTTAGAATCTGCAGTCATGAAATCATCTTTATCAACCAATTTTTTTTCTTTTTTTATGGTGGTGGGGATTGAACCCAGGGATGCTTTACCACTGAGCTACCTAGTCCTTTTTATTTTGAGAAACAGTCTTGTGAAGTTGCTAAGGCTGGCCTTGAACTTGCAATCCTCCTGCCTCAGCCTCCCCTATCTGCCAAATTTTTATGTCTGAAGAAACATGTTCCCATGCTTATTTTCACCATTTTCCTATTGAGCTTACCTTCCAAAACATCCTCAAGGGCAAATTCAATGGTAGAATTTTCCAGAATGTTGACAGCACACACAATAGTAGCTTGTCTAATACTCACTAATCTGAACTTACTGTTTTAGATCTTTGCCTCTTCTGCAAAGGGATATGATGAATTTTTCTGTAAAGGCTGCCATTTAAACATTTAATGTAATTGACATGATTGATTCATATTTGTCATTTTGCTGTTTTTTGCATATTTCTTTTGTTCCTTTGTTCAAACTTTTGTACTTCCCCTACTCTCTGGGTACTGGGGATTGACCCCAGTACCCAGAGGGTAGGCAAGTGCTCTACTACTGAGCTTCATCTCCAGTCTTTACTGCAGTATTACAAGATTTTGATTATACTACCTCTATACTAATCATGAAATATACATCCTCCTTTTTTTTTCAGTGTTGGAGACTGAATCCAGGGTCTCACACACAGTAGG